AAACAATTAATCACTGTGCACGGCCACCTGGATCTGGGACCCCAGAGTCCATCATGACATCATTATGTGGGCCGCCCAGGGGACCGGGAAACTGTTGTCACATCTTTGTGGGTGAGACACTCATTAGCCCAAATGGGACTTTATTATTCATTACCTTCCTAAAGGGGTGACACAGCATCGTCTCATAAACCGACTACGAGATTCATAACAGCGATAATTATTATTTATTTCCAACTATCCTTTACAGCCTGGGCCTGAGTCAAAATCTGCATCAAGCTCTGGATAGAGGTTCAGTGAAGCACTCAAAAACTACTTTATCAAGTCAGTGGAATTATCTTTTCAAAAGAAAACAAAGCGTGAACACTTCACAGCCCCAGTGCATTCATGTGTGCTGATGGGCAATTTGATACGTTACTGTTAACAAAGGGAATTATGTCACATTACGTTTTCAGAGCCTCTAGAACACTGAAGAACTGCATGTCCCATAAAACAACAGATTTAGTTAATAAACCACATCCAGTGTATTCATAGCACTGTACTGAGTCATTAAGAAGTAGATACAGCCCTGTAGGTGGATAAACGCCAACAAAACAGACCAGAATGACCACCAAAAAAGATGAAAATATATGTGGACGCTTTAGATGCATCTTCAGAAAACTATATGAGGAGAAGATCGGTTTATTGGTGGACCTGAATAACCTGAACATCTCCAGAGTTCAGAACATTCCAGTGTGTGATATTAAAAAAAAAACTAATAAAACTGCCAAAGCTCTTAATTAAGCTCTGATAAACTCAAACACAGATATAAAGCTGAAGTCAGCTTCTTATTCACCAGCTGCTCATCTGAATTTTCCGTTCCACCTTAAAATGGTGCTACATTTACACTGAGGCGCCTTAAAAGTAGAAGGGATTTTAAAAGTTGGCTAATACGAAGCGACATCAGTTTACCTCAATAAATGCACCAATTTACCTCAATAAATGTATTAATTCACGTTAATAAATGTATTAATCTACCTCAATAAATGCACCAATTTATGCTAATGTATTCATTTGTGTCAATAAATGATTCATTTACCTCAATAAATGCACCTTAATCAACAAACTCCTCAGTCTTTCTCCTGGAGGTGTTTAATGAGCAGCTAACGAGGAGCACAGCAGAGCAGCTGTTGAGTGCGTCTCACTGGCTGATCTAACGCCGCGTCCCAAACCACACACTTCTGTACTTCACCTACTGCACTAGTGAGTGCACTTCTAATGGGATATGCACACACTATTTAGTGAGCTAGTATGCGGTTTGGGACGGGACACAGCAGGAAATTTTGGCTGTCTAGATTTCAGCTTTCATTTGTTATCACTACAGCAACAAATCAAATAAAATCAAGCCAATACAGTTTAATCTATCAGTTAATCCGCTTTGAAAATTAGATCAACGAAGTGTTTTAGTGCCTTTGCTGGATCAGTTATGGATTTATCTCATTCCAAACAGCCACAGCACTGCTGAGTGAACCTGAAACTGCCCACCAAAATACCCCTACAACCCCTACACCCCTGATAAATTCACTGTAGCTCATGACCTCAAAAAAAAGTTTTTTTTTTAATAATGATGTACAACATAACGTATTAGAAAATATAGAAGCTTTCAATAAATAAGGTTTATTTAAACTAATCTGGATGAACTATTATTTCACCTAGAAATGTGGTTTCTTGAGAGCAATGGTCACCAACCCTCCTCCTGGAGATCTACCTTCCTGCAGAATTCAGCTTCAGCCTACATCTAACATGCTGCCCCTCCACTTACCTAACAGTAACAACTGATTCAGTCCATCAAGGACTTCTGAGGAAGGTAATTAGTGGAATTAGTGTGCAGACTGTGGCTGGAATAAGGCTCTGCAGGAAAGGAGATCTCCAGGACCAGGGTGGGTGACCACTGCTCTGGAGTATGTGATTGTTACCAAGCAACAATGGACTGCTGAAGGAGGACAATAATAAGCTCAGTCGCCCATCACAGTAAACTGCGATCATTTTATGAACTGTCATATAACAGAGAACATATTATAACTGTTTAATGCAAAAACCTTCACTTTAAATGTACTTTTTGCTCACTAAATTACAACTGTGGTGACAATGCTATTTCCATTAGCACCTCTATGAAATTTCCAGTCTTATTTAGCAACAAGCTAATGATGTTGTATGTCCCTTTTCCCATGCTGAGCTCCAGGCTCCTTACACAGCGCACTACGTAGAATTATACAACAGTTAGTTCCGGCCACGCGAGCTGATTGGTTGAGAGGCGTTCTAACTGTGCTGTTATTTCACCACAACATCACGGATTTTTCACAAACACTGTATCACTCCGCTAAGACGCTGTTGCTAAGCAACGACTTTGACAGCTGTAGGAGACGCTCAAGACATTTGAACGTTTTTACTTCTTACTTTGCCACAAACAAAAAACGGACACTTTTAAGATCACATTTGACCGACAGCCGATTTGGTCAGACTCTGAAGATGAGACGACACTAAATTCCCAAACGGTCAGTTGGTCTGTGTGGAGCTGGAGAACGAACTGCCAGCTGAGCAGCGAGTGGGCGGAGCTCGTTACTCTGACGTAGCAACGAGCTGCTCGTTAAGGAACTATAATTTGGTGAAGGAACTGCGAACATTAAAACGTATTAAACGCCGCGTTCACAGCCCAGTTTATTAATTTATTACTGTATTTATTTAACTGTTGTATTAAAGCACTAGAACACTCGAGGAGTGTGTTATCGCCAATAACATCACGGCTGTGATGATCTACGGCGACCGAATCACAGCCGTGACGTTATTTCACGAAAACACACTCCCTCTGTGTTCTAGCAACAAGCTAATGATGTTGTTATATGTCCATTATCCCATGCTGAGCTCCATGCTCCTTACACAGTGCACTACGTCGAAATTAAATACTGGCTTCTGTGCAGAAATAGTGGATAATACAGCTAATAAGCAGTCATACTGGAATTTCATATTGGACAGTCTGTGCATTCTGTGCAATTTTATAACTTACATAGCACACTTTATGGACAAGAGGGAGCAAATTGAGCCACTGATTCAGCCTGAGTTTAACGCTAATTAAGGCAGATGGTCATTGGAAGTGTGTAAGACATACAAGTGATATATTCTTTACTTCTTTACACCGCAGTTTTACAGTGAATCATACAGTAGGTACTTTAATTCAAAGCCTGTGATGTTAATGGAGGAGTTGTTTAGCTGGTTAATCAGCCAAGATCCAGTTAAGCCAGGGTCACACAACGTTTACCCCAATTTTAGCCCTGATTCTCAGTCTGAGTCTGAGCTGGTCGGCTCTAGTTTGCAGATGTTTGGGTCAGTCAACAGTTGGAGAGAGAGTCGAGTCGTGTTTGAGGGGCGCTGACTCAGATTGACTGCCTCCTGATCGCGTTTCAGACCAGTCAGAGTTTATCAGACATGATTTTCTCAATACAACTCTGAGAGCAATCTAGTGTAAACTGGTCAACGACTCAATCTGAACAGACTCCTGAAACAGCCAATGAAAACTAAGAGAGCAAAAGAAGAAAATACAGCAATAAACAAAGAAAAATGGTGGAAAGTCTCTCATGTGTGGAGCGAAGCTTTTTAATGAGCCGAGTTTAAGGCACAATCGAGTTTACGTAGATTTAAAACTCTAAAAATACCAAAATGATCACATTTCAAATCATTGATCCTCACTTGAACATGTTTACTTGCTTCTTTACTGTTTCAGCGCAAACGGCAGAGAAACCAGCAGCAGCAGCAGCAGCTCACGTTTGTTTATTTGCGTCTCCGAGTAATGGGAGAACGTGAGCGTTCACATGAGTTCAGTGAGCTTCATTCGGTTCAGCAGCAGCTTAAAAGTTGAGTAGTGTGTGATCTCTAATCGTTTAGTGTGAATCCCCAATATTTCAGTCTGTTCAGACCTTAAGTCGTGTAATGAACCCAAGGCTTTAAGAAAAGTTGTCAGCTCCTCTGTTTAAACAGACCCGGGTTACTTCATCAGTACACCTGGTGCTCTATTACAGTCAAAGATTATTCCATTAACAGCACAAGAATTTTTATGACTTGGTGCAGTAATACAGAACTCAGCTGTTGTCATACGTGAGTGTACATCCAGTATTTTACAACAGCTTCCACCAATCAGATCTGTATTTGAAAGACTTTTTAAAAATGTGGCACTACTGTTTGTTTAGTGTATTTTATCCATTCCAACTTATTCAAGACCCATAAAAATTGTAAAATATTGTGATATATAGATGGTTCATGATGTCTATTTTACCTTATCGCCCACTGTTAACTGCTGCCACTTGTTTATAGCACAAAATGTACTGCTCTGTATATGCAAGATGTTCTTTAACCCCTTAAAATCACAGGCTTATTACATATTAAGGCTTATTATACAGTAACTACAGGGACTTCAATGCAAACTGGCTAAGCTATTCTTAGTTTATATGAAGTGTGTAATAAAACTTTGAGGAGCTGAACACTGAAAGGCATCCACCACACTCTCTTATGCGTACAGTCTTTACGCTTACCCCAATTAAGCCAGTGTTTTCTCTTCCAGTGTTTTGCATTATCCGTTTGCAAAGAATATTTTAGCGCCTTTCATAGATGACAGATTCAATTGTCTGAATGCCTTTTCGGAAATCTCCCTGCTCCGAGTTAATATGAGTACCGGTTTGGATGGCCAGCTTCATGTGAAAAGAAATAGAGGAAAAACTTCGGTCAGATGCAAGTCTGCATAATTGCATTGCTATTGTGAAAGCCACCAAAATGACCCATCATTAATCATATGCCTCATTATCAAAACATAATGAGTCAAATGAGGCCAAGCACTATCTGAATGAAAAAATTAAACATCCATTAGTGGACTCAAAGAAAAGCACTCTTTTGTGAAGAACAGAATTTATCACGGCTCTCTAGATTGTTTCAAGGAATTAATTTGCTCAAGAAACGTTGCAGCGACTGCTACTTGCCTGTGTATCCAGCCAAACATCGGCACTGGTAGGAAACTGGCGACACTTGCACACACGTCCCGTTCCTGCAGTCCTGGGTACAGTTTCTCTGGCCGAGGATTTCAGAGCAGTTGACACCTGGGAGGCAGATATACCATAATATTTTAATAATTGTGTAAAAATAACCAGTTCACAGATAATACAGATGTTTACAGAAGGCCGTTAGGTGAGAACCAGGAAGAGTGGCAGTGAGGGCAGTGCAGGGGTAAGATGAAGATTCAGCCCCACCGGGATCTCGCAGATTGTCAAGAGCTAAAACATTTGATTTTGCAATGGAACTGATGGTATCCTTGGACCAACAAGTGTACTGAATAAGTAATCTGGTTCTGCTCAACCCCCGAAATCCCAGGCTTATTACCTACTGAGGCTTATTATTCAGTACCTACAGGGACTTCAATGCACACTGTCTGAGTTTTTCTTTTTTGGGGGGCTCTGGTCATTTAAGGGGTTAAACTGAGGGGCTGACAGCTTACTTTCTAAATTAGGAGTAGGCTGATTAGCTAGAAAACAGGCTAAAAGATGGATAACAGGTTAAACAACTCCTAAATTAATATTACAGGCTTTACTATGATTCACTATAAACTGTAACAGTGAAAGTAAAGAATGTCACTTAAATATCTTACAAATGTCAGTGTTTTAGTGGGATCTGCCTTAAATTAAACCCAGGCTGTGTGTTTCAAGTGAATCTCCCTGTAGGTATGTATGTATGTATATATATATATAGAGAGAGGGAGAGAGGGAGAGAGAGAGAGAGAGAGTCAGTCAGCTCCTGATAAAAGTAAATTGGAAATGAAGTGCGCCTCTGAGAGACTCGAGGTAAAACATTTTAACACTGAAATGATGTAACGACACTACTTGTATGCAAAATACGCACCATATGTCTCCAGTTCAAATTCAGGAAAGATGAGGACATAAAGTAAAATAAAATACTCATCATCAGGTTACTTGTCAATCATTTCCGATATCCAATCACACTCTCCCTCACACAGGTCTGCCCATGATCAGTCTCTGAATCCAGCATTTAATGTTTTTTGCAACAACAAAACACAGCATGGGCAGAAAATACAAAAATTATAAGTCATGATCAGCTGAAATATTAGCTGGCAAATGATCATCTCTGCATTATCCACAAAAAATGGCATTTTACTGCAAAATTTAGCGCACCGTTTCTATTTACTTGCTGAGTTTAACATATTGGAAAAAAAAGAAACATTACTTTTGCACAAGCCACCTTTTACGTTTTTTTCCAATGTGTTAAATTCAGCAAATAAACAGTAATTGTATATTAAAATGTGTAAAAGTGCGCTCTCTGTAGAAAATCACTCAAAAATAAATATGTAATTTTGACCCAAACGTTTGCACATGACTGCACAATCAGATTCCATGTGCTTGGTCCACTTTTGGGCAGTTAAAAACCACCTCCTCTAGCAGGCTGGCTATGTTCATAATACTAATAATGATAAGAACAATGCATTTTATTTATAATGCAACTTTCATTTAGGTGAAAATTTCAGGGTGCTACAAAGATAAACTTAATACAGCCATAAAAACCTATCATTTAATGAAAAATAAATCAATTAATTAATTAACTAATTACTAATAAAAGCGGCAAACCACCATAATATTTAATGAAAGGAATTTCTAAATAACCTTCAGTGCCACAGTATAAACTTTAAATATTGTTGCCTTTACAAAATGAAAATGTCTTTAAATCAGTTTTAAAAGAAGTCAGGGCTCTTTTGGAAACAGCCCAGTTACACACCGCTTGTGTACTGATTGTGCCCCAATGTAGTAAGTAGTTTGCAATATGTGACCGACATGAATTTCTCCAGTTCGCCAAAGAACTGCATCCCAAAATGCAACGTGGTCATTTCAGGAGGATGTAATCGCTGATGTAACCGCCTGGATATGTAAACAGTCCTGGAGTGAGGTTTTCAGTTAGTAACAGCAAATTGTCGTTTTTCAGTTTTTAACATAATTTGAAAATACCTGTTGTTCTTTACATTGTGTGTAAATTTCACGATGAATGGACCAAAAGAAACGGCCCAAAATGACCTGGAAAAAAGTCTGGTCCCATTGATTTACATTAAAAGTAGAGTATGTTTTTTCCTTCTCCTGTAAAGTTACCATTTTGGAGATATGAGCGAAATGCTGAGGCAGCGCTGAAGCCCCCTCAGTCTTGATTTGGGTTTCTTACTTCATCTATTTAATTAAGTTAACTTACTGCATAGATAAAACAGTAACTTAATAAGGTTACTCAGCATTAGCTCCTCAGGCTCTTGCGTGGAGTCACGCTGTTTATTATTCAGTCAGCTAAGCTTATATTATCAGCTACGAGTGTAATGACAATAAAATAGAGGAAAACAGGTGTGTTTGGAAATTAAATCCAGAGCTGACATTTGCAAGTTTATTTTAGGCTTTAGAGACAGGGAGAAAACACAGTCCTGCTGGGGGGTCTTTTAAAAGTCATACAGGCCCATCTCTCGCCCAAAACACAAATGTACACACTGAAAAGCCAATAGCAACCCTTGCTAAGCACTGATAGGAGGGCTAAGGAAAATGGGGCAGGTCTTGAGCTGGTCTGCCTGGCTCAGTCCTTGATGTTGACATTGGATACCGTACAGTGTACTGCTGATGAACAGTATATACCAGAGGTCGGCAACCCAAATGTTAAGAAGAGCCACCTTGGGAGCCACAACACTTTGTCCATACTGCCATCTTGGCTGTAAATATGCACCAGTATGTGTTAATGTACTAGTATAGAATAAAAATATAATATAAACAAAAATGCAGACTTTTCTCGCATCTCCAGCAGGAAACTTTTCCTCAAGAGTAGAACAGTTTCTTGTAAAATGTCTCTCAGTGTTCAACTTTTTACGAGGCTGAAGTCGCTTCTCATTCGCCAGCTTCTCATTCAAATTTACCAAAATTCACACTGAATTTCCCTGTTCCACCTTAAATGGTGCAGCAGTTACATTCTGGCACCTCAGGCACCATTTAAGGTGGAACAGGGAAATTCAAACGAGAAGCTGGCGAATGAGAAGCGACTTCAGCCTGGCGACTTTTCAGTGTTTCAGTTTCTCACTGCAGATTAAACGTATCAGGAAACCAGCTGGAGTGATTATAAACACTAATAAGTCCATTCATCTCCAAATTATTGATGTTCATCTTAAATCTCTCTCTTTGCCGTTTCGTTAGCTACTAGCTAGGCGAGACTGTTGTCTGTGTTGCTATGGTGACCAGCAGTCTGCACTGATCTTCAGGGTTAAAGGGTGAATCAGCAGTTCTACATTAACTCCAGAGTTTAAGACCATTTATTGTTAAACTGTGTTGAACGATCAGCAGAGCTTTATTTTACTGTAAAGGAGGATTATTTTATTTTTACCTACTAATCTGATTCTGCTGTGGAGCCGAAACAGGACAGTGAAAGAGCCACATGTTACCATCCCCTGGTTTATACTGATGCAGTATGCAGTATAAAGTACACAGTATGCTATTTTGAATACTATAAGACCCTCAGACAATCAGGAAGTCTACTCCAAAGCTGAGGGGCAAGTGAGTAAAATCCACGATCACCCAGTTATTATATGCAGAAGAAGGTGATCAGTGCTAGACTGGTGATCGCAACTAGAGTTACAGGGTATACGAAGCTCCTTGAGATAATCTGGTGCATTTTTGTGAACACACTGAAAAGTTAGGAGGAGAATTTTATAGTCAATTCTATATATTGATGTAATGTGTATATATTTTAATACCCTGGCTGTAAAATTCTAAATATATTGGAAGTTCTAGATATGCTTGGCTGCATTTTAATTGATGGTCCAGTACAAAAAAAAAAAAACACATTTTATTAACAAATTCTCAGTGAAACAAAGGCATGAACAAGACTCTCTGCATTGGAGAGTGTAAGAAGAGTTTGAAAATAAGTTTTAGATGATAAAATAAAATTTTACAAATGTTGAATGTGGGCCTCAAAGTTCAGATGAGAATCGAACTTGACGCCAAAATTTGAAAATGTGCTGGAAACTGAAATGTCCTGACCAGAAACAGTAATAAGCCAAAATAAAGTAATAATAATAATAATAATAATAATAATAATATAGCACTATTCATGCCAGTGGCAGCTCAAAGTGCTTTATAGACAGGTGATAATGTTTTACAGTAATAAATGAAACTACTATGACTTTAAAAACACAGCACAAAATACAGATCAGATCGCCGGTGGCAGCTCCACAGTTTAGATGCAGAATAACTCAACAAGTCTCTCCACGTTTTCTGTATTTTACTGAAGGTGTTTGCAGAAGGTCAGTATCTGCAGATCTAAGATCATAAACAAACAAAGTTTGTGATGTAAGCGGTGCTTTAAGGTCATTTTGAGCTTTGAAAACTAGTAGCAGAGCTTTAAAATCTATCCTGAATGATACAGGCAGCCAGTGCAGCTCTTTTAAAACGGAACTGATCTGATCTCTCTGTATTGTTTTTGTTAGGATGCTGCTGTATTTTGTACGAGTTGTAAAGGATGTACTGTTTTCTTAGGAAGTCCAATAAGAAGACCATTACAGTGATCAACTCTGCTGTAACAAATGTATGAACAAGAGTCTAAGATCAGACCCAGGTTTGCTGTATGAAGCTAAAGAACCAAACTTCAGTATTTCAGTTGTTTTGTGATTTAATTGTAGAAAATTTAGCGACGTCCACTGAGAAATATCTGACACACAGCTGGTCAGCCTGTCAACAGAGTCTTGACCATCAGAAGGAATGAAAGTGTATAACTGTATGTGAAAATAAAAATATGAGTATTACATTATATATAATGTTTTGTTTCCTAAGTTGCAAAGTACAGCTCTCATGGTTGTTTGGATGTCTAGAAATAAAAGATATATTGTTTTTAAGCATTATAATTTGCCTCTAACGCATTAAGAAGTGCTATAAACATCACCCTTAAAAGCTCTGCTAATTGCTGCAGACTAATTTAGCTGTTAAATCAGAAGAACGGTGTTCTGCACACAATGCCTGTCAATCTCTGTAGAACAAAAAGTCCATTTTGGAAGCTCCAAAAAAGTCCATAAGCTAAACAGGGCTCATTTACAGGCTGCCAAGTGTGGTTTAGACACGATACACGAACCTGTCAAACTTTACTCCACACAGATTCAGCAGAATCTCCAGTACAGTGAATATCTCACGAAGCCCTGTGAAAAAAGTCTCCACGGATTGCCTGCACTGTTCCTAACAGGAAAGCTATGAATAATTCAGCAGTGATATCAATAAACCACATTAGCTGAGCTACTTGTGAAGACAACATTAGAGGCTTTTTAAATATCCTGCTCTTTAAGGTGCTCACCGAGAGGCTCGTGTTTAAACAGCGTTTGGAGGCAGATTTTAGCGATAGCGACACAGGGAGAGGAAGCGTTTACATCTAAATGAAAAAGGAGGGGGAGGAAAACAAAGCATCATGTAATTAAGAACGCTTTCAGGTGCAGGAAAGAGAGAGAGACTTTCAGGAAAATGCTGGGCCAATAAACACCCTATTGCTGATCCATGCTGTCATGAAATAATTGCGCTGAGCCAAACAGGGAGAAAGTCAGTGTGACAGATAAATAATTAATAGGTATCTACAAAGGAACAAGGTGGTCTTCTGAAGGAAGGCAGACTCTGATTCTGCTTCTCAGAAACAATCCCTGCAGCAGGAGCGCACGTCCCCAATTCCAGGAAAGGCATTCGAGTATGAGGTTGTACTTAGTCTGTGTTATTGTGGGAAACGAACTACTACAGACAGACAATAAGCAATTTTCTACAACTGAATTAGCTTGAACTGCACCCCCATAGCTCTACTCAGACCACAGACATTTACAAAGATTGTGTTCTGTTGTATTTGAACTCAAAGCTCTAATAAAAATAATAATAACCTAAACATACACAAAATCATACAACCACATTTCCAAGTGTGTAAAATGTAAATGAAAACAAAATGCAATAATGTGCAAATCATTTAATCCCTATATTTCATTGAAAATAGTACAAAGACAACAAATCAAATGTTGAACATGAGAAATTTTATTGCTTTTTAAAAAATATTTGCCCATTTTGAATTTGATGCCAACAACACGTTGCAAAAAAGTTGGGACGGTGGAACAAAAGGCTGGTAAAGTTGTGTAATACTAAAAAAAAACTCCTGGTGGTTGATTGACAACAGGTCAGTAACATGATTGGGTATAAAGAGCATCTCAGAGAGGCGGAGTCTTTCAGAAGTAAAGATGAGGAGGGGTTCACCACTCTGTGAAAGACTGCACCATCAAATAGTGCAGCAATTCAAGAATAACGTTTCTCAACGTAAACTAGCAAAGAACTTGTGCTTTTCATCATCTACGGTACATAATATCATTAAAAGATTCAGAGAATCTGGAGAAATCTCTGTATGTAAGGGTCAAGGCCAAAAACCAGTATTAGCTGGCCGTGATCTTTGGGCCCTCAGACAGCACTGCATTAAAACCAGACATGATTCTGTAGTGGAAATCACTGCATGAGCTCAGAAACACTTCTGAAAAACACTGTCTGTGAAAACAGTTCATCACTGCATCCACAAATACAAGTTTAAACTCTAAAACACAAAGAAGAAACCAAATATAAACAGGATCCAGAAACACTGCCGCCTTCTCTGGGCCTGAGCTCATTTAAAATGGACTGAGGGGAAGTGGAAAAGTGTCCTGTGGTCCGACGAATCAACATTTGAAATTCTTTTTGGAAATCATGGACTCTGTGTCCTCCGGGCTAAAGACCACTCAGATTGTCATCAGTACACAGTTCAAAAGCCGGTATTCATGATGGTATAGGGGGGCATTAGTGCACATGGCATGGGTGACGTGCTCATCTGTGAAGGCACCATTAATGCTGAACGATATATACATGTTTTGGCAACATATGCTGCCATCCAGACGACGTCTTTTTCAGGGAAGCCCTTGATTATTTCAGCAAGACAATGTAAAACCACATTCTGCATGTATTACAGCAGCATTGCTCTGTATTAAAAGAGTCTGGGTACTAAACTGACCTGCCTGCAGTCCAGACCTGTCACCACTGATGACATTTGGCACATTATGAAATGAAATTAAAAATACAACAAAGGAGACCCTCGAACTGATGAGTAGTTGAAATCCTGTATCAAACAAGAACAGGAAAACATTTCACTTTCTAAACTACAGCAGTGTCTCCTCAGTTCCCAAACACTTACAGAGTGCTGTTAAAGAAGAGGTGATGAAGCACAGTGGTAAACAGGCCCCCGTCCCAACTTTTTTGGAACGTGTTGTTGCCAACAAATTCAAAATGGGCATATATTTTTCAAAAAAAAATAAAATTTCTCAGTTTCAACACTTGATTTGTTGTCTTTGTAGTATTTTCAATGAAATACAGGGTTTAAATGATTTGCACATTATTGCATTTTGTTTTCATTTACATTTTGCACAGCATCCCAACGTTTTTTGGAAATGGGGTTGAAGTACAGATAGGCAATATGCGATTTTCTAAAACTGAATTAGCTTGAACTGCGCCCCCATAGTACTGTTCAGACCTTAGATATTTACAAGGATTGTTTTCTGACCCAAAGCACTAATAGAGATAATAATTACCTAAATATACGCAAAATCTTAATTTATAGGGTGGTAAGAATTGAGAGGAGTCTGTCCCAAACCCTCACCTAAATTTACACTTCAAATAATAATGTTTTTAAGATTGATGAGGTTTAATTTTTAAATGAAAAACTTTATTCCAAAAATACTGTTCCATGTTTTTATGTCTCTACCGAAACACACAGTTTTAGTCTGTGGGAGGGGCCTTATTTTAACCACGTTTTGAGCTCAAAACTATCACCACCGAAACAGTCACTACTTAAACATTTGGTAAGGTTCAGTAGAGTTATGATTGTTTTGGTAGTGACAAAATGAAAAGTTCAATCATACATTTAATAAAATAATCATAATTATGGTTTAGCGTCACTCAGAGCAAAAGGATTTTAGTGTAAAGTCCAAAATCTGTTAAATATCTCAAATGTGTTTCAGCTCTGACTTTGATCCAGTTCAGTTTTCTGCATAGTTAAGTGGTTAATCTCTGATCTAGAGAAAATTACCGAGTCAGAATTGTTCACAGTGGTGGTGACAGGAACCAGATGTCTGACCAGAGCTTAATTCCTTTTAAATACAGTGCCTTATGTCTGAGACGTTGTTTTATGAAAGTTTTGATCAGATTTTGGCTGAAAACATATACATTTTAAAATATATTCATGGTGGAGTGGGAAAACATCCATGTTCTAAGGCAAAACAGTCCTCAAAGAACATCATCTATATTTGCGTTTTAATCATTGCAACCACTTTATTCCTACCAGCAACAGTGTTCAAAGCCTTGGATTAAAGACGAGACCTACGATGCAAGTCGAGTCACTTTGGCCTCCTTCTACTAGACTTTCTAATGAACTGGAAAAATGTATAGACACTTGGGAACTTCTGTTATAGTACCTCTATTAAATATATCTATCCTACATTCTTCTTGTATTTTACCCAAAATAGTCATAATCCATTTCACATGACCATTTTCCAACCTTTCCAACCTCTAGAATTAAACAGGCTGTTTTTGTGACTGCGCCTTTAGGACTGCTATATGTAAATGACCTCTGTTCAGATTGGCTGTCCTGGTTTGTGCCCTTATTCAAGAAGCAGCTTGAGCTGAAACACTTCTTATAACTTCAGCCTGAGTGGGCGGGGCTAAACTGCTGTAGAAAAGCTAAAAAAGGTAGATGTACGTAAATAAATCCCCTAAGCTCAGTTTGCATTGGAGTCCCTGTAGTTAATGAATAATATGCCTTAATATGTAATAAGCCTGGAGCTTAAAGCAATGAAATCGAAACTTTCTGGACAGAAATTCTGGAAAGTATGTTTTGAAACTGTAACAGTATTTATGTACCTCATCACACTGATTTATCTCACAACAGCCATATTTACATGCAGCCTAATAATCCGTTAATACTCCGACTAATAGCTCAATAGAATCAGAATAGAATACGTTCATGTAAACACCTCAGTCGGAATAGTCTAGTCCGATTGAGACCATTCGGAATACAGTTTCTATCCGATTGAACGAGGTGTGTAATCCTGTAAATAATCCATTAAATAGAAGAATAATATCCGTGTAAACGCCTGTATCTGATTACATTCCCTATCGGAAAGTTTAAGTCCGTTCTGATCACGTTCGTCGCGTCATAGTGAGAGTTTATACCGTTCAACATGGCGGAGCAGAAACTGGTCTGCAGAGGAGACGAAGTTTATGCTCTGATCTTTAAAAGACGGCGGTGGGACGGACGTCCAGCTTATGTGTCTCAGAACACGACGTCTTCCTCTCGGCCTTCTTTAATAAGGACATGTGAAGGACGTTTTCCTGAGTCTGACATCATTTTAAAGCAGTTAAAAACACAAGCACTGCTCACTGCTGCTCATCTCACTCTGACTGGACTCACGTGATGCTGGTTGTCATGGTAACGTCCACACTAAGCGGTTCTCTACGCATGTAATTTTGGATAGGATTACTTGTAAACATAGCCAGTGTGAGAAATAATCTGATTTCCATTACATAGTAGTCTTTTCCTAGAATTATAAGACAAATGAAATCTTTATAAGCCAGTCAGTGAGACGCTTACTTGCAAATGTTCCAAAGTTCCAAAGTATTAACAACACCGCTTTTGCAATTATCTACAATTACTAAAAGTGAGACATGGGCTAAAAACAAGGATATAAAAAGAATCAGAGAGAAGAACAACATGGACTGTGGTAAGAACAAACATAAGGGCCTGGCAAAAGAACACTAAATTATAGACTCACCAGAGAACCGGGGCGGACACAAGCACTCATAGGAAGGCCGACCGGGCTCTGCAGTGCTGTTGCTCACGCAGGTCGCACCGTTTAAGCACGGCTTCTCAGCGCAGGCATCGAAATCCTCGCAGAAGGGCCCGGAATAATGCTTGTTACACCGGCAGCCGTATACAAGCTGTCTGACGTTAGCTCTGCAAACGCCGTGGCCTGAGCAGAGGCGGAGAAGCGGAGAGTCCTGACAGCGCTGCTCCTTGACCACCACACCAAGACGCAGGCCAAGCTGGCATAGCTGGCTACTGCCTTTGTGAGTGGCAGCAAAGTAATGAACGCCAGGGGACAGCCACTTCGGGCCCACCTGCATGCTACCCTTCATAAAGCCGGCGAAGACGAAGTGCTTGCTCTGCACTTGCTCCGTTGAGCAGCTTTCAAACTCTTCTTTGGACACGTTGATTAGGTTCACGCCATACCGCTCCAGTGTTCTGTCAGGGACAGCGAACAGCGCATCTCCCAGCTGAACCTCCAGGGGGCACAGCTGAGGGAAAGCGTACGACTGATTCGTCCAGTGCTGCTCTCGTTTCGGAAGGCCGTTCCAGCACTGATCCCCGCTGCTGCAGGTGTTCTCCATGAGAGTCCATCTCAGGGTGATGTTCCTCAGCTGAGGTTGCCATTCGTGATGGAGGGGTCTGTGGCAGATCACCTGGCTTGAGACTTCGTCGTCCATGAAATGGCTGAGGAGGAAGACGAGCAGTTTAAGCGCCCACGTGCTCGGCCTTCCTGCCGCTGGGCCGTCCATCTTCATCAAGCTCCCCAAGGCTCTTCCACGGTCTGAGATACAGATGAGGCAGGAGGTAACAAAGTGTTAACGGTGGTGTTAAAGGCCCGTCAGATGTGTGATTAAGGGTGTTGATAGATGCATGTCTGAGGGGGAAAAACAGACACATTAATGCATGTCAATGAAAAGTGATATATAGAAATGTATATCTTAGGGAAAAAAAAGAAAAAAAAATCAGTAGATGAAAAGATTATTAAAGAATACAGAGAAAATGGGGCTCCTAACAACCATCAACCAACACTGCTCCCCATCAGACAAACAGCATTTAAGACAACTCAACACTATGGGTCTGAAAGGACGTGTAGCCGCCAAGTCCTCACTGTCTGTGTTCACATGCAAAGATTTTCTCCAATCTGACTGATTATAGATTAAGACTGAGGTGTTTATTCTCACTCTACTCAACGATCTCCATTTACGTTCACACTACAAGTAATTTGATCCAAAATTACACTCATAGAGAACCGCTTAGTGTGGACGTTACCATGACAACCAGCATCACGTGAGTCCAGTCAGAGTGAGATGAGCAGCAGTGAGCAGTGCTTGTGTTTTTAATAACTTTAAAATGATGTCAGACTCAGGAAAACGTCCTTCACATGTCCTTATTAAAGAAGGCCGAGAGGAAGACGTCGTGTTCTGAGACACATAAGCTGGACGTCCGTCCCACCGCCGTCTTTTAAAGATCAGAGCATAAACTTCGTCTCCTCTGCAGACCAGTTTCTGCTCCGCCATGTTGAACGGTATAAACTTTCACTATGACGTGACGAACATGATCAGAACGGACTTAAACTTTCCGATAGGGAATGTAATCAGATACAGGCGTTCACACGGATATTATTCTTCTATTTAACAGATTATTTACAGGATTACCCACCTCGATCAGTCAGATAGAGACTGTATTCTGAATGGCCTCAATCAGACTAGACTATTCTGAATTATGCTGCATGCAAATGTGGCTAAATTGACTGACCACCCCAGAGTCCAGACCTCAACACCACTGAATGTGTTTGATTACTTCAGAAAATCATCAACCAGCTTCTAAGACTGAACTTTGGAGGTGTGTCTGCAGATTCTTTGAGGAACTGAAAGTGAGTCTCCTGAAAAGAATGTAAGCTGAAATACAGAGTGGAAAATATTTTAGTTTAGTTTATAAAAAATAAATGTATTTCGAATTCGATTATTATGACCAACCAACACCTTCTGATTGCAGGAATTCATCTAAGACATAACAAACATGGAGCTTTGAGATAACAGTGATGTAAAAAGTTTGGAATGACCCAGCTAAGCAGGTACAGGAGGAAGTGAGGGGTTCAAACACAGGTGCAGCACCACGGACATCTCCCTCAGCCAAGCCTGGCTCAGCACCGAGCAACCCAACTTCAGAACCCTGGCCAGCTCCTTCTCCACCTTCTGGCTCCAAGTCACACTAATGAGCAGCCTCGTACAAAGGAGCTGTCCTCCCCTCTGAGCTCTCGCTGCCTGCGAGGAAGATCTCTCAGCAGATAGCAGGAACACAGCTGCAGCCAGCAGTGGACAGGCTTTGGCTCTTTCCTCCATCCCGCTGATGCTCGCCTTCAGCACCTAGACGCCCCAGCAAGCCTCACCAGGAACCTCCTGCTTTCCCCTTTTCTAAAGCCTGATTTTACACATTCGCTTGGATTTCTGCCTGAATGAGGAGCAGAAAACAAGTGACTATCCTTGTTTGAACAAAATCTGAGCCTCTTCCCTTTGATCTCCCTCGGAGAGATCTTTTAACTAGAAAGAAAGTAGCCTATCAGTCGGAGGGTGAGAAGTGGTTTGTGCTCATAAAGCTTGAAGTTGTAGCTTAAATTGTCAAAAAAAGGAAAAGGCATGTCAAAGAGCCAAACTTTCAATCTTCCAAATATGGGTTTAGAGTGAAACGCTGACATGAAGTGCTAGAGTCTGTCAATCAGCATCTCCAGCACTTTTACACAAAGAGAAGCTTCCGTTTAGACGGGATTAGTTCTCCGTGGGGAGGTGGGTGATGCTAGTTTACCTCAGGACGTCTGTAAAGTTTATGAGGGATTCGCACGGAATGAGGAATCTCAGTATAAAGGACAGAGATGGAGTGGGCACTTGATTTACGCACCACCTTTACTCTAGAAAAGAGGAGAAAAGATGTTTAAACATTTAGTTTAGCCTTTATTACATTAACCCTCACCATTCACCTCACTGTCTTAAAGGGGAACTCCACCAATTTTGCAAAATTCCTTATCATTCAATGGTTTGGATGTAAACAAAATCATTCAGAGTGGTTTGGTGTGAAATTAGCCTTTCTAGAGAGTCAGAATTGTTCACCATTATAGTAAATTATATAAAAGCTACATCCCATTAAGTTTGTACACAAAATGGTTATAAATGCATTTTGTTTATCATTGTAATGCTAGAAACCAGACGCTGGTATGTCTACACTACAAATAATCACCATTTTGGGGGCTCCCGAGTGGCGCAACCGTCTAAGCGTTGGCCCTGTCATCAGGAGATCGTGAGTTCGATCCCTGGTGGTGCTACAGCCGTCCGTAGCCGGGAGTCCGAGAGAGCACAATTGGCCTCACTCTCTCTGGGTGGGTGGGATGGCCCCTCCTTCTCCCCCCATCACTCACTCAGCGCGATGCTAGTCAGCGCAGGCGTCTGTTAGCTGACGTAACAGATCTGGTGGTTGGCGCTTTCCTCCGAGCGCGTTCGGCTGTCCGATGACGTTGCGTGAGCGGCAGTTCGAAAAGAAGCGGTGGCTGGTTTCACAGGTCTCGGAGGAAGCCTGTGTTAGCCTTCACCCTCCTAGCGTTGATAGCATCGTGTGATTGGGGGAGTCCTAACTAGCGGGTGGAATTGACGACGACTAAATTGGGGAGAAAACCGGGTAAAAATTGAAAGAATAAATAAATAAATCACCATTTTATCTGCTGACCAGTGAACTTACATGTGTCATGCTGATAATGGTAAAATTCTGCAAAACTGGAAAAAAAACACGTTTTCTAGTTTAGTTTATTTTTTGCACAATTTAAAATACACACAAATAAACAAAGATAACATAATATACAGAGCACAAAACCCTAATAGGCTTATATAAAGCCTCCACCTAAATAACATTAAAATTTCACTATATTATAGAAAATAAGAAGACATAATAACGACAAACATCAAATAACCAGAATATCTGCATAACATGTGTAACAAAAACATGTGAGTGTATAAGCACGTGTTCTGTATGTGCACAAGGGCATCCGCGCACATATATTTATGAATTAAATTAATTAAAATGTTTATGAAATGATGAAGATTTATACATCCATATTAACTCCTGAGCAATTGTAATAATATATATCACAATAAATGAAACAAATAAAACATGGATATATTGACAATACAGGGAACAACAGCTTCAGTGCAGTTATTAGTATTAGTATTTTGCCAAATGAGGAAACACTGCAGTGCATTATTAGCTGTGAATTCAGAGCCAACAGTCAACTTCAACTCATAAAATCAAACTGTTTTTCTGTCATTTTTACGTTCTGAGCTGCACACGTGAGACTAGGGCTGCAACAATCGGCTATTCTGACAGTCTAATAATCTATCGAATATTGAAACGAATGATCAATTATTCGGATTATGAATCGCTCAGTTCCTGAATAACTCTTACGTAGATAGCAGCTTTTAAATTTAGCTTGTGGTTGTTTTATGCATTTGCTAACCAACATTGAAGACAATAATGACGAATAATTAAAGATTCACTGCTTTAATGAACTTTCCTGCTAATAGAAAATAAAAACAATAAGATAAAGCTAAAATAAATAAAACAATACTATTGTTTTCCTAGCACTGTCACCTCACAGCAAGAATGGCCTGGGTTCGATTCCCCGGCCAGGTGACCAGGGTCCTTTCTGTGTGGAGATTGCACTGGACATGCTAAATTGCCCCTAGGTGTGAGTGTGTATATCTGTCTGTCTGCCCTGCGATGGACTGGTGACCTGTCCAGGGTGTATCCTGCCTTCCACCCAATGACTGTGAATCTCAGAAGGATAAGCGGCTTAGAAGGTGTGTGTGTGTGTGTGTGTGTGTATTGTTTTCCCGTCAAAATTTAAAATCAAGCAATCAAAGTTTAATTATGTACACATTTTGAAAAATAAGTGGAGTCCTACATCCTTTCTAAGCCAACAGCGTTTAACTGACTTGACTTTTATTTATTTATTTTTTACATGCTGCTCATTTAGTTCTCCAATCATGCACTAATTGCTATAATAGCGGTTTGATTTCTGGTCGTAGGTGCGTCCATACAGGTGTACATAATTACCCTTGCAATTACAGCGTGCAATGCAAAATAATCACAGCTTACTGGTCAATCGTGAGTTATTTTAATTCTGCAGTTTACGTTATGCTGAGATTTCTCTCCTTGACCAGAAAGAACCTGGACTTATATATGTGTAACTGTTATAAGAACCACATTAGTGATGCATGTTTTCTATAAAAATTGAGCTCCTCTGAAAGTGTGGTTCACGTACGTCCATGCATCTGTTAGGGGTCAGATTACACCCATTTTTTGCAGACCAGCACACTTATTTCCAGTTGTTTTCTATGGGCTCACTATTTTTGTGCGCTGGTCACCTTGAGTGTTTTGTTTGTAGAGCTCCAGGCACCCTGAGTTGAAATAAACTTGACTGGAAACAGTCAGTAGCCCAGACCAATCAGATCTTAATAGGCAGTTAGAGTTTTAATTAGTGATGGTCTTTCATGTACAAAGGAGTGAGGAGTGTGTGTTTCAGATCACTGTGTTCATTTAGCCTGCAAAGTGTGAGCTTCAAGTGAAAAGTATTTAAATAATGTTACTGTGTTTGTTGCCAAAAGAGGTAGAATACAAAAACGGTAAAAACGATGAAGGAAAACAGGAAACCGATCGATAAGAATTTATATACTGAATCTATAAGACTTAAACTACAGTGTCATTCTATGGTGGTCACTATCAATTATATCAGTGAGGGAGTAATTAGCAAATATTTACGTAATAATCAAGTACTCAAGAGTTTTTAAAATAGGCCAAACAATGAAAACAAGTTTAGCTGGACAATAACAAACTTTGCAAAGATTTCCAAATAATTCCAAACTACAGGGTGATTCAAAAAGATTAATCCGATTTCAAAGCGCCATATTTCTACAACCGTGAGGCGCCGAGGAACCAATCACAATCCAACTGAAAGAGGGGGTCACAAAGTTTCTGACTGGCTCCCTTCAGTCTGAGAGGAGATGAGACCCCTGAGCAGAAAGCGTTCTGCGTTCTCCACTTCAATAAGAGTGAATCCGTCATAACTGTGATTTTCGTGGGCATTGAAGCTCCAACAGCTCAGAGCGTTCGGCGTTGGTTCCACAACACTGGATGATCTCCGAAATCGCACTGAAAGAGCCGTGAGTGCAGCGACACCCGACATGCTCAATCCAGTATGGGATGAGTTTGACTATGGTGTTGATGTTGTCTGTACAGCTGGAGGAGGTTCATACTGAGACCTTCTACAATTACATAATAAACTTTATGCTCATTTAAACCGTTTACAGTTCACTGCATTGATCTGTAATGATTTACAAGAGAAATCAATCATTTTGAAATCGGATGAATCTTTTTGAATCACCCTGTACGTAACAGAAAAAGTAACGTTTTATATATAAAACGTTACTTTTTCTGTTACGTACAGGGTGATTCAAAAAGATTCATCTACATATATATATATATATATATATATATATATATATATATATATATATATATATATATAGAGAGAGAGAGGCCAATTTGAAGCTGCACTATGTAAGATTTGTGGATTTGGAGACCTCTTTGGGGGAAATGTGTAACCACACTTTCAACCCAAATGGATGAATCTGATGACTGAAGGAGATCTCAAAGAGAATTCAAAGAAAACTCAGTCTGAACTTGAATGATGGGTGTTCTGAGGATGTGAGTGAATTATCTACTATCATCATATCTTCATCAGTATGACGTTGATTTTGAGATCATTTGAGGCCGAAACATTGAGTCAGACCTTCTTTTTGAGTCTGTGTGAGACCTTAATACATAAAGATGTTCAACATGGTGTGAAAAACTCGATGCCTGTCTTTTAAATGATTATTCCGAGCTTTACAGGGCGACTTGCAGCAGCACATGCTAAGTATGTTTTAGTATGACTTAGTAATGCTACTTCGTACAATTTTAACAAACATATTTTACATAGTGCACCTTTAAAATATGCTTTATCGTCATCGGTGTTGCCAGATTGGGCGTTCTCACCAAAGTGGGTGGGTTCTGTTTGGATTTGGTGAGTGGAATGCGCTTGGGCAGGTGGACAAAATCTGAGCTGGTTTGATATTATTTTGGCTTTTTTAAAAAAAAGAAATATAAACAATTAATGAACTTCATTGCTTAATAACATAGCTGATATCTGAACAGGTCCAGACGTCCAATCAGTTACAAAATCAGTATTGTTCACAACTGACATCAGGGGTTTATTATTGATGTAATGGACGTGTGTTCAGGTCTAACGCGCCCACTACTT